TATATTAATGACCAAGATAGGAGCATTTGTTTATTTTTGTTAACTGCTTGAAAATGTGCATTTTCAGCATGGGTGTGTGTAATTTGCATTGTAGAGCAAAAGTATTGTCAAGTTATGTTTATCGCAGACCTTATTTTATTCATTATTTGTAAAACCCCATTATAAAAACCCATTGGAAAACCTTGAGGGAACCAGCTGAGAATTAGTCTTTATTAGTCAGGTTTTGACATCACAACTAAAAAAAAAAACACTCTATTCTTAGGGAAAGCAAGAACTGAAACCTATTATAAATCTATTATTATATCACTTACATTTTATTGTACTGTTGTACTCACTATTTTATTATCACTTTAGTACAATTTGTACTACATATACTTTTTAAATATCACATATCACTTTTACTATATTTTCACTCTATTACACTGCACTGTATCAGTGCATAATGTTTTACCACTGTAACTCTTACTGGATCCATAAAGGATTATCAGTTACATTTCTTATTGTTTGGTGTGGAGTTTTATATCTGTATCCTGCTATGAAAAAAATAGAAAGCAGACTTCCAGTGTGACAATTTTTGATTTGTATTTGCTGATTTTATTCCATTTTATCAATGATGGTCAATTATTAGTACTTAAAGATGTATTATTTCGATTTGTTTCCAGTATTTAAATGGGAATGAGCTGTGTTCTGTTCTGTTCTGATCTGAAGCACAAGAAAATCTAAAATGTTGGGGTTGGAGACAGAGAAAGCAATTTCCACGAAGAAAAAACTTCATTTCATTTAATGTACATTAGATTATATTACATGTATATATCACAGTTATACTACATTAATATTAGAATTGTTACCAGAAAAAAATAGCCAAATCAACAAGTGAGACAAGTGTAAGCTTTCACAATTTCTAACGAAAATTAATAATTTTCCAAACCTAACTAAATAACTGGAGACAGAGTTATTTTTAATTCCATGTAGATCACAAACCACTGAAATCGGCTGATAAATGTAAACGTTATTGTGTTTTTATCCAGAAAACAAAATATATAAGAAAGTATGAGGCCTTGTCCTGTCCCAATATCCACACTTTTGTACGTGACGCATTTGCTTACATGACATATTTCCTGTATTTGGACGAAGTGTTCAAATAGACAGCAGGTGTGTGTGGAACTTTTGATTACTTGATGGGACACACACACAGCATTGTGTTGTAAAGAAACTTAAGTAAAAATTTTTACAGAGCTTTATTTACACCTTTAGATTTTTGGTCATTTAAATTGTAAAACAAATCTTATTCAGATCGTTCCTGTGTAACAAGACAATTTATCAAATAAGGTACTTCTAAATAAGTTATAAAAAGCAGTTGCAAACATTTTGGTAAAATACATACTGATCTCTGCCCTTTCGATTATGTTAATCAGTGCCCTTAACAAGCACTGAAGCTTTGGCATTTCTCAAACCCAAGTAGGGATAATCAGGGGTGGACTGGGGCTAAAAAAATGGCCCTGGTCTTTCTGGCACAGAGCGGCCCACCACACCCAGTCTGCGACACACCACACCACTCCACAAACCCACCAGGCAGCTCATTATGCACAGAGCAATTTTTAACACCTCTTACTAACATAAACATATAACACAATACAGAAATAAAATGCGATCTATTTTTTTAATTGAAATTCTTATTAACATTAATGAATGACTAGCATACTTCTTTACATTATAATTTGTCTTTCTTGGTGTATATGGCAAATAGTAAATAATTTAGAATAATTTTTACACATATCTTTTAGAGGGACAGTTTAATATCACTAAAGTTAAATGCCTACCACAATATCAGTCCATATGACATAATGCTGTGCTCTGCTCTAGAAGACTTGGAATGTAATGCAGAATGTGGACTGTTTTTCAGAAATCATTCTAATATCCTGATTTGCTGCTCAAGAAACATTTCTGATTATTATCAAAGTCGAAAACAGTTGTGCTTAGGGATGGGTACCGAAACCCGGTATTTAATCGGTCCCGGGGCTAAATTATGAAAGACCGGAGTATCGATAAGCTCTGACGTTAACGGTTCTGCTATCGGTACTGGAGAAATGAATAAAACACACATACATTTATTATTGCTATATATACATTATCTTGCAAATTCTATCTCACCAGAGTCGCCAGCTGTTTTTCAAACATTTGTCTATGATGCATTTTTGCTATTCGCAATTCAGAAGCGAGATCGCGCCCACGCGGAGGAGCTTCAGCACGCGCAACATGAAAGCCCTGTTTAATTATGATAGAAGAAAGCACTAAACATTCAAACTTCTGCTTACACTTTAGGCCTGTGGCTGTTTTA